TCGGTCTTAATCCATTGACCTTTCTTAGATATGTGATCCATAGTCTGTCTACTTACATGTACTTCCAATCATCATTCGTTAAGTGTTGTAGTAATGATCCTCTAGCTAATAATTCCTACTAACTTGTGGATTACAACAAAACGCTATGCATGTTAGTGGCTTTTCATAAATGTAAAAGTACCAAGGCTATGTAATCTCACCAACCCATTGTAACTTCTTGCAAATAAAAATTAGTATTATTATTATTATTATATTTTTATTATATTATTATTATACTAAAATAAAAAAAATAACTTAGTTTTCAGGTCATTGTACATTTTGCGGTAAATGAGTTTTCTCTTTAATTTTAGAACGGAAAAAAAAATAATTGGCATTCCGATATCCCGGATTTGCTCATGGTCGTGCATGTTCAGTAGCAGAGTAGGCTGCGCACTTGTAGCTCTAGCTTTAGTTAAGGCGTTTATAGGCTCTTGGTTTTTTCTTGTGAAGGCGACTTTGTCTTGGGGGACAGGACGACACACACACACACACACACACACACACACACACACACACACATGCACACATGCACACATGCACACACACACACACACAGACACACACACACACACACACATGCACACACACACACACACACACACACACACACACACACACACACACACACACACACACACACACACACACACACACACACACACACACACACACACACACACACACACACACACACACACACACACACACACACACACACACACACACACACACACACACACACACACACACACACACACACACACACACACACACACACACACACACACACACACACACACACACACACATGCACACACACAGATAGATATGATAGAGCCTATTTAGAGCCCAATAGCCTCATGAATCTGTACACCTGTTGATTGACGGTTGAGAGGCGGGACCAAAGAGCCAGAGCTCAACCCCCGCAAACACAACTAGGTAAGTACAACTAGGTGAGTACACACACACACAATAGAATACGAAACAATGGGTATAAATTGGATAAGTTTACATTTAGGAAAGACCTGGGGAAATACCAGTTCGGTAACAGGGTTGTTGATTTCTGGAACCAATTACCGCGTAACATAATGGAAGTAGGATCCCTTGATTGTTTCAAGCGTATGTTAGACATATATATGAATAATTAAATTGGGTGGATGTAAATAGGAGCTGCCTCGTAGGGGCAAATATAGCCCTTATGCAGTTACCTTCATTCTTACGTCCACAGCCCGCGTCACCACAACTGAGGAACTTCAGTAATTAAAAGTTTCATGACGGGTCATGAAACTATCTAACTATCATTTAACTATCGTCAAAACTGTTGCCCACTCTGATTTTTTCTCCCTAACTCGAGACATAAGCTGAAAGCGCAAAAGCCAGGGGTTCCTGATTCACGAAGCAGTTACGCAAGTATTTACGAACGTGTACGTCTTTCCTCAATCTTTGACGGCTTTGGTTGCATTTATTAAACAGTTTAGAAGCATGAAAACATCCCAATTAACCGTTGTTATTGGTATAAACAGCCTCCTGGTGCTCTGGAGCTCATTAACTGTTTAATAATTGTAAACAAAGCCGCCAAAGATTGAGAAAAGATGTACAGGGGCCAGATTCACGAAGCACTTACGCAAGCACTTACGAACCTGTACATCTTTTCTCAATCTTTGGCGGCTTTGTTTACAATTATTAAGCAGTAAATGAACTCCGAAGCACCAGGAGGCTGTTTATAACAATAACAACAGTTGATTGGGAACTTTTCATGCTTGTAAACTATTTAATAAATGTAACCAAAGCCGTCAAAGATTGAGGAAAGATGTACACGTTCGTAAGTGCTTGCGCAACTGCTTCGTGAATCTGGTCCCTGGGGGTTATTTGAATAACAGGTGTAATGCACCTGCCCAAAGCACAGGGTCTGCTTCCTAATAACCTAACACGTGTGAGACGGTAAATTCCTCATTGACTCTCTTGCCCCATGGCTGAAACACATGATTTGGGGGATATTTGTTCATGATTTTTTTTAAATTCTTGTAACGTGTTTATTAAAAAAATGAGGATTGTTTTAAAATATTTAGTTCACTTGAAAGGGTTTAGAAATCATTCACTTGAAAGGGATTTATAAACCATTCACTTGAAAGGGATTTATAAACCATTCACTTGAAAGGGATTTATAAACCATTCACTTGAAATGGATTTATAAACCATTCACTTGAAAGGGATTTATAAACCATTCACTCGAAAGGGATTTATATAGCATTCACTTGAAAGGAATTTAGAAACAGAATAGCTAAACAATTTTTTTATCATATTTGTTTATAGTTTTAATGCAATATTTTTTTTAATCGTTGAGAGATAGAGTTCTGTGTTCCCTCAGGGTATAGATATCGTCTCGATGTATCTATACCTCTACTCAACTAGTTGTGCTTGCGTGGGTTGAACTTCGGCTCTTTGGTCCCGCCTTTGAACTGTCAATCAACTGGTGTACAGATTCCTGAGGCTACTGATCTCTGTCATAGCAACATTTAAAACTGTGTATGGAGTCAGCCTCCACCACATCACTGCCTAATGCATTCCATTTAAGTACCCCTGACACAATAACTGAAAAAATTATTTCACATATCTCTGTGGCTCATTTTGGGTACTCAGTTTCCACCTGTGTCCCCTTGAGCGTGTTCCACCCGTGCTAAAGAGTTTGTCTTTGTCCACTCTGTCAATTCTCTGGTTAAGAACCCCTAATGTAGACAGTGTTCCTGATATTAATTGATCATCCGCTTTCTCAAACAAGTAAAGTATCCAGTATGCAACAGTCAGGACATTTGAAATTTGTGATATTTGACGGTCTGATAAAGACCTTTTGTACCCTCTGTAATGCTTTTTGCGCTACCGCTCACAGGATGAGTATGGGGTGCACAATAAACTAGCCGCCTCAAGCGGCAACAATCAAAATCAAGTCTTTAGTTCACCTTTTTATAGACGTAGAATGAAGTCAAATAATGACTTTACCGTCATATTATACCACTTTACCGTCATATACCTATAGCTATAGGTTGTCTGATTAATTACCGTCATAAGCGGATCACCTGGATGAAGAGGAACTTTATAGTGATCTACCACAAGGGATTGTGATGTCAGGAAGACCCTTAATTCTAAGACGAACACCAAATAACATGAAAGAAGAGAACAGACGACTGTCAGCTAATCTTAAAGCTTCCACGACCCGTCTTAACTAGTATGTGTGCGCCATATGGTGAGTAATACATTGTGATACAGGGGGGAAGAGGGGAATACAGACGGTTTGTGAGCCTGTATTCAGAGGGAAGGTGGGTTTATGGGTCTGTAGTCAGAGGGAAGGTGGGTTTATGAGTCTGTAGTCAGAGGGAAGGTGGGTTTATGGGTCTGTAGTCAGAGGGAAGGTGGGTTTATGGGTCTGTAGTCAGAGGGAAGGTGGGTTTATGAGTCTGTAGTCAGCGGGAAGGTGGGTTTATGAGTCTGTAGTCAGAGGGAAGGTGGGTTTATGGGTCTGTAGTCAGAGGGAAGGTGGGTTTATGAGTCTGTAGTCAGAGGGAAGGTGGGTTTATGAGTCTGTAGTCAGAGGGAAGGTGGGTTTATGGGTCTGTAGTCAGAGGGAAGGTGGGTTTATGGGTCTGTAGTCAGTGGGAAGGTGGGTTTATGGGTCTGTAGTCAGAGGGAAGGTGGGTTTATGAGTCTGTAGGTAGAGGGAAGATGGGTTTATGGGTCTGTAGTCAGAGGAAAGGTGGGTTTATGAGTCTGTAGTCAGAGGGAAGGTGGGTTTATGAGTCTGTAGTCAGAGGGAAGGTGGGTTTATGAGTCTGTAGTCAGAGGGAAGGTGGGTTTATGAGTCTGTAGTCAGAGGGAAGGTGGGTTTATGAGTCTGTAGCCAGAGGGAAGGTGGGTTTATGAGTCTGTAGCCAGAGGGAAGGTGGGTTTATGAGTCTGTAGTCAGCGGGAAGGTTGGTTTATGAGTCTCCACCACTATATGTCACACGCGTTCGAGCCCCTTGTCTTAAAAACACTAATGCAATATGAACCTATATTTTACATTTCTTGTATTTTTAATTAATATTTTGCATGTACAGCCCACTATAACAGTTCCGACGGCAGTTCTTATACTTAAGAGGAGTTCTTAGCTTCCCGAGGACATAGTCAAGATGCAGAAAAGCTTCAAGCTTTCTTGCAGGTGTCTTGGGCTTCTCAAGGCTCTGTGCTAGCTTGAAATATGATGCAAAGGCAAGATAAGGAACTACACAGGCTTGTAATGTGATATATCTTAGGTAAGATAAGAAGCCATACAAGCTTGGAATACAATTTCGAAGGCAAGATAAGGAACAACACAGGCTTGGAATATAATGTGTGAGCCAAGATAAGGAGCTATTCAAGCTTGGAATACAATGTCTAAGCCAAGATAAGGAACCATACCAGCTTGGAATACAATGTCTAAGCTAAGGAACTATACAAGCTTGGAATACAATGAGCCAAGATAAGGAACCATACAAGCTTGGAATACAATGCCTAAGCCAAGATAAGGAACCATATCATCTTGAAATACAATGCCTAAGCCAAGATAAGGAACCATACCAGCTTGGAATACAATGTCTAAGCTAAGGAACTATACAAGCTTGGAATACAATGAGCCAAGATAAGGAACCATACAAGCTTAGAATACAATGCCTAAGCCAAGATAAGGAACCATACCAGCTTGGAATACAATGTGTGAGCCTAGATAAAGAACCATATCAGCTTGGAATACAATGTGTGAGCCTAGATAAAGAACCATACCAGCTTGGAATACAATGTGTGAGCCTAGATAAGGAACCATACCAGCTTGGAATACAATGTCGAAGGCAATCGACTCTTTTTTAAACACTTGATTAACCAATTCAACAGTCGCTATAACTTGTTGGCTCCAACAGGTTATAGCGACAGAACACGTTACAACATCAACTTACCACAAGAATTCAGGACGGTGTTTCACAGTTCCGTTGAGGGAGGGGGGTCGAGGTTGTAGTAGTGACACTGTTAACTAGCACGGTACACAGTCTACCAACACTCCAGGAACCACAATGGGGGGGGGGGGAGGCTTGTTACACAGTTTAGGATCTAATCACATTAAGAGGCACTGAGAGCTTCACCGCCATGACTGTGGGCACTCCAGAGGCGTACTGCACAGTCCGCCACAGTCACCACACACACTCTCCGCCCACTCCCCCTCTCACTGCTACAGTACACATTTCATTTGAGGCAAATAACACCTTTAATGACGTTATTCTTCTGAAGATCATTACGGCTTGCGCCACAGTTGCCGGATAGTCTCTGGTTTGTCCCATTTATCTCTTTGGATTACTGGGTTTTGTTGTGTTTATTAAAATGCTATAGTGACTTGATTTTGTGTGGATTGAGGTGTGATATGGCTCGTCTTCTGGCATAGTTAGCTTCGGGGAGTGTATCTTAATGTTGATAAATGTTGCAGATGACAACATGGCATCTGGATTTTTCCCGCCTCCAAGGAGGCGGGCGGAGCGTGACGTCAGAGGCGAGGAGCGCTGTGATTGGTCGAGACGAGCGGAAGAAGTAATGTACGCTTCGCTAATGAAGTCAACTCGCTTGGAAAGTTGTCACGAACGCTGCCTCTTTTTTGTGTGTTTTTGTTCCAATTGACAGTTTCCACATTTTTGGCAGTGGAGGTGTAATACCGGGGCCCGGAGGCGGCGGGGTATGAGGTGGGAACCGGGCCCTGGAGGCGGTGGGACCTGGGGCCCCTGCCCTGTGTATACACACACACACACACACACACACACACACACACACACACACACACACACACACACACACACACACACACACACACACACACAGGTACACCACATATGTAAGACCAATCCTGGAGTATGCGGACCCAGCATGGAGCCCGTACCTTGTCAAGCACAAGACGAAGCTGGAAAAAGTCCAAAGGTATGCCACTAGACTAGTCCCGGAACTAAGAGGCATGAGTTACGAGGAAAGGCTGCGGGAAATGCACCTTACGACACTGGAAGACAGAAGAGTAAGGGGAGACCATGATCACAACCTACAAAATCCTCAGAGGAATCGACCGGGTAAACAAGGATAAACTATTCAACACTGGTGGGACGCAAACAAGGGGACACAGGTGGAAACTGAGTACCCACATGAGCCACAGAGACGTTAGAAGGAACTTTTTCAGTGTCAGAGTAGTTAACGGATGGAATGCATTAGGCAGTGATGTGGTGGAGGCTGACTCCATACATAGTTTTAAATGTAGATATGATAGAGCCCAGTAGGCTCAGGAATCTGTACACCAGTTGATTGACAGTTGAGAGGCGGGACCAAAGAGCAAAGCTCAACCCCCGCAAGCACAAATAGGTGAGTACAAATAGGTGAGTACAGGCTTCAGCTGGCCCACACACACACACCGCTCCTGTGCAAGGTAAGTCCACTACGGGCTCACCATAGCCCGTGCTACTTGCCCCCGCTCCTGTGCCTGGTAAGTTACGGGCTCACCATAGCCCGTGCTACTTACCCCTGCTCCTGTGCCAGGTAAGTTACGGGCTCACCATAGCCCGTGCTACTTGGAACTTCTTGAACCCGGAGCATGGGTGGTAATGGGGGCCACACCATTGGGGCCCCCATTACCGACGCACACCATTTAAACTTCACCAAAATGTTTCTGATGATGATGATGAGCCATTAGTTGACAACGTGAGCGTGTGGTTGGGCCCTTAAGGGGTGAAGGGGAGAGGGGGGGCAAGCGATGATGGGGGGACCCCTGGCGAGGGAGGGGGGGGTGGGGACCCCTTGAGAGGAAGGGGGACAGGGGAGAGGAATGACAGTAGTGGAATGAAGGGGTTGATGCAGTGGAATGAAGGGGTTGATGCAGTGGAAT